GGGGTCTGCCCCAAAGAGGCCCCGGCAGGTGGAGAGGAGGCTGCTGCTCCTCCTGGCCTCAGCCACAGTGAGTCTGGGGACCCAGCCTGGATGGGGGGGGGGGGGTCCCGGGAGGGGGCGGCGGGCAGGGGCAGGAGGGGACAGGATCCAGGTGGAGGTTGGCAAGGTTCCGGACTGAACTGGAGTGATGAGGGTGTGGGAGTGAGTGTGTGTGTGTGTGTGTGTGTGTGTGTGTGTGTGTGTACAGTGTCTTGGGATGAGAAGTGGTCACAGCTGAAACTATAGGGCTCTGCCTCTCACAGGCTCACTGTCCAGGTGGGGAGGAGGGGGTCCTGGGGCTGATGCCACCCCACCAGTCCTCACCGTGGGTGGCTGCTGTGGGGGAAGCCGGCCACAGGGCCGGCCCATCCTCCCCGCCTCCCAGGGCGCCCGAGTGGCAGCTGTGGTTGGAGTCCGTGGAGAAGGGACGTTTGGGCGGTCATCTTCCCACTGATGCGTCTCCATCTGTGCGTTTTTTTAAGACCATTTCCCTGCGTGAGGTCTGACTGACACACAACAAAACTGTCCATGTCTACGGCGTCCAGCGGCCTGGGGGGCTCTTGCGAGGGGCATTCCCCCCCGGGTACTTGTTAAACCGGTGTTTCTGCAGAGGGCTGAGGGCTGGGGCCGCCTATCTGCTCTGATTCTTTATCTACTCCCTGGACCAAGGCCAGGGCAGCGGGACCCGCAGGGGCTGCCTGCCCTGGGGCTGCCCCGGGCCAGCAATGTGCCTGGGAAAAGCTACAGAACCTCAGCCCCAAGCCTCACCCCGGGTCGGTCTGTGGAGACAGCGCCCACCTCCTGGGCCATCAGGATCCAACGAGGAAGGAATGCAAAACGCCAAGCGCGTAATCCGTGTCAACAAGCAGCCGCTGCTGTAATTATTTATTATTAGCTCCGCCGTGGGCCCACCTCGCCCCGAGGCTCCCGGCCTCCCCTCCCGCGGCGCCCGGAGCAGCGGGGGAGCCGGCGGGGAGAACGCCCGGCACTGCCGTCCGGCCAGCTGTGCCCGGACCAGAGGCCTCTCCCCCGCTGCCTCTCCCCGGGGCACCCAGACATCCCGGCTCCTGCCGAGCTGCGGGATGAAGTTGGGAGTGGAGATAAGAGAAGGGGAGGGGAGGGCCCCGGAGGGAGAGGCCGGAGGGAGGCTGAGAGAGGAGGGAGGAGGCGGCGTCCAGGCTGAGGACCCGCCTCTCGGCCGCAGCGCAGGAAGGAGGAAGGATGCCCAGAGGCCGGCGGAGGGAGCGGGATGTCGCTCGCGTCCTGTGAGTCCCTTTTCCTCTTTCACCAACCCACTCGGAGGAGGCTCTCTTCCCGCCGCGGCTGATCCCAAGGAGGACAGCGCTTCCTGACACGGCCGATGGCCGGTTTGGTTCGGGGGCTAGAGCATCGGCCCTCAGGCTGAAGGGTCCTGGGCTGGACTCCACTCAAGGGCATGTACCTCGGTTGCAGGCTCAGTCTCCAGCAGGGCGGTTGTGGGAAGCAACCAATCAATGTCTCTCTCTCTCTCTCTCTCTCTCTCTCTCTCTCTCTCTCCCTTCCTCCATTTCCCCCCTCTCTCTCTTTTTTTTTTTTAACATTATTTTATTTTATTTTTTTTAAATATATTTTATTGATTTTTTTACAGAGAGGAAGGGAGAGGGATAGAGAGCTAGAAACGTCAATGAGAGAGAAACATCGACCAGCTGCTTCTTGCACACCCTCTACCGGGGATGTGCCGGCAACCAAGGTACATGCCCTTGACCGGAATCAAACCTGGGACTTTTCAGTCCACAGATCGACGCTCTACCACTGAGCCAAACCGGCTTCGGCATTTCCCCCCTCTCTTTTCCTCCCATCCACTCTTTCAAAAAACAAACAAAAAAAACCCACGAACTAGATGTAATTAAATAACCTCAGAAGTCCTCTCTTCCCCTAGCATCCTTTCATTTCTCTGCTTTAATTCGGTTGCCTATCTTGATGCCTAACTCTGTTACCCAAACAACTTAAGCTATTGAGCATCATTCCTCCTTTATTTAAAAAGAGAGAGAGAGAGAGAGAGAGAAAATATTTTTCCAAGAAAATTTATAAATGTCCATTAGGCTCTAAAGTTTTACCAAAGATTTCCTTGGTCTCTGCTTATCCTCAGTGCCTGGCTCAGCGCCCATTTAGCAGCAGGCACTCAGTGAGTATCTGTGGAATAACGGGGTGGATGGGCAGGGTCTGACGTCACTGATGAACGGACAGGCTGGTGCAGGTAACAGGGGGTCACGGTTCCCCTAACGAGGCTGTTCTAGTGGTGATACTGGGGATCTTTTTAAAAGTGTATTTTTTAAAAATATATATTTTATTGATTTTTTTTTTTTACAGAGAGGAAGAGAGAGGGATAGAGTTAGAAACATCGATGAGAGAGAATCATCGATCAGCTGCCTCTTGCACACCCCCTACTGGGGATGTGCCCGCAACCAAGGTACATGCCCTTGATCGGAATCCAACCTGGGACCTTTCAGTCCGCAGGGTGGCGCTCTATCCACTGAGCCAAACCGGTCTTGGGTAAAAGTGCATTTTTATTGATTACAGAGAGGAAGGGAGAATGAGAGAGAGAAAGACAGAAACATCAATGATGAGATAGAATCACTGATCTCCTGCACGCCCCCTACTGGGGAAAGAGCCCACAACCTGGGCATGTGCCCTGACCGGGAATTGAACCGTGACCTGCTGGTTCTTACATCAACACTCAACCACTGAGCCGCACCGGCCCGCCCTGAGAACATCTTAACACCCACATTGTGACTTGGAGGTGACCCCGTACCTGTGATCGGAAACCGTTCCATGCCACTCGGCACTCATGTCCTCTCCCACCAGGCGAGGCTCCCAGGGCCTCTGGCCACCGGCACGGACCAGACACACGCGCTGAGGCCGCCCTCCGGGAACCTGAGGAATGGCTGAGCTGCGGCCGGCAGAGGAGCCCGCGGCTCCCTGACTGAGGACGCAGAGGCCCGCGGGCGTGTGGGTGTGTAAGTTCTGCGCTTTATCTGCAAACAGCCGCACAGAGGCCTGCAGCCAGGGCTGGACGCAAACCAGAGGGCCAGGCGGCGCTGAGCGGGAGGCTGAGGGCAGCAGAGGCTAAAAAAAAAACAGCCCCTGGGGCACAGGCCCACACCAGGGCCTGGACTGAGGCTGGGGGAGCAGCCACCCAGCCACAGTGGCTGGGCTGGGACCTCTCTTTTCTTTCTTTTTTTCTTTTTTTAAATATATTTTATTGATTTTTCTTACAAAGAGGAAAGGAGAGAGATAGAAAGCTAGAAACGTCGATGAGAGAAACATCGACCAGCCGCCTCTTGCACACCCCCCACCGGGGATATGTCTGCAAACCAAGGTACATGCCCTTGACCAGAATCGAACCTGGGACCCTTCAGTCCGCAGACCGACACTCTACCGCTGAGCCAAACCGGTTTTGGCTTTTTTTTTTTTTTAATATCTTATTGATTTTTTAAAGAGAGGAAGGGAGAGAGATAGAGAGCCAGAAACATCCATGAGAGAACATCCATCAGTCGCCTCCTGCACATCCTCCCCACCCCCCTCACTGGGTATGTGCTCGCAACCAAGGTACATGCCCTTGACTGGAATCGAACCCGGGACCCTTCAGTCCGCAGGCCGATGCTCTATCCCCTGAGCCTAACAGGCCTCTGCTGGGCCCTCTCATTATCTGCCTCCCAGCCTCTTCCCAGGGGTCTTAGCTCTAGGTCTCCGTGGGATTCAGGTAGGCCATGGAGGAGGAGCAGCAGAGGGAGGGTTGGGGGAGAAGGGAAGGGGCAGGGGAAGAGGGAGGGAAGGAGCAGGGGAAGAGGGAGGGAGGGGGCGGGGGAAGAGGGAGGGAGGGGGCAGGGGAAGAGGGAGGGAGGGGGCGGGGGAGAGGGAGGGAGGGAGGGGGCGGGGGAGAGGGAGGGAGAGAGGGGGCGGGGGAGAGGGAGGGAGGGAGGGGGGCGGGGGAGAGGGAGGGAGAGAGGGGGCGGGGGAAGAAGGAGGGAGGGGGCGGGGGGAGAGGGAGGGAGGGGACGGGGAGAGGGAGGGAGGGGGGGAGAGGGAGGGGAGGGGGAGAGGGAGGGGAGGGGGCGGGGGAAGGAGGGAGGGGAGGGGGAGAGGGAGGGGAGGGGGCAGGGGAAGAGGGAGGGAGGGGGCGGGGGAAGAGGGAGGGAGGGGAGGGGGAGAGGGAGGGGAGGGGGCGGGGGAAGAGGGAGGGAGGGGGCGGGGGAGAGGGAGGGGAGGGGGAGAGGGAGGGGAGGGGGCGGGGGAAGAGGGAGGGAGGGGGCGGGGGAGAGGGAGGGAGGGCCGGGGGAGAGGGAGGGAGGGGCGGGGGGAGAGGAGGGAGGGGGCGGGGAGAGGGGGAGGGGCGGGGGAGGGGGCGGGGGAGAGGGGGGAGGGGCGGGGAAGAGGGAGGGAGGGAGGGGCGGGAGGAGAGGGAGGGAGGGGGCGGGGGGAGAGGGAGGGAGGGGCGGGGGGAGAGGGAGGGAGGGGGCGGAGGAAGAGGGAGGGAGGGGGCAGGGGAGAGGGGGGATGGACGGGGGGAGGGAGAGGGAGGGAGGGGGCGGGGGGAGAGGGAGGGAGGGGGCGGGGGGAGAGGGGGGAGGGGCCGGAGAGAGGGGGGAGGGGCCGGGGAGAGGGGGGAGGGGCGGGGGGAGAGGGGGGAGGGGCCGGAGAGAGGGGGAGGGGCAGGGGAGAGGGGGGAGGGGCGGGGAAGAGAGAGGGAGGGAGGGGACGGGGGGGGAGAGGGAGGGAGGGGGCGGGGGAGAGGGAGGGAGGGGGCGGGGGAGAGGGAGGGAGGGGCGGGGGGAGAGGGAGGGAGGGGGCGGGGGGAGAGGGAGGGAAGGGGCAGGGAAGCAGGGCTGCAGCAGGCAGTGAGGGAGGCGGTGGAGGCGGCCATGGCGCCGAGCTCACGGCTTTCCTGCCCGCAGCGGAGGCCCGGCTCCCGGCGAGCGGCCATGTCCGAGGGGGAGAGCAAGGACAGCTCGGGCAGCGAGTGCCCCGTGTGCTACGAGAAGTTCCGGGACCTGGAGGGCGCCAGCCGCACGCTGAGCTGCGGCCACGTGTTCTGCCATGACTGCCTGGTCAAGTACCTGCTCTCCACCCGCGTGGACGGGCAGGTGCAGCGCACCCTCGTCTGCCCCATCTGCCGCTACGTCACCTTCCTCAGCAAGAAGAGCTCCCGCTGGCCCTCCATGCTGGACCGGGGCGCCCAGACGCTGGCCGTGCCCGCCGGCCCGCCCCCCGGGCCGCCGCCCGCCCCCCGGGCCCACCCCGGGCCCCCGGCCGCCTCCCCGCCCGCCCGGAGGGCACCCGCCGGCCCCAGCCCCCAGCTGCCCTTGGACCTGCTGGCCGGCCTGCCCCGGGAGCCGCAGATCTTCATCATCAGCCGCCACGGGATGCCGCTGGGCGAGCAGGACAGCGTGCTGCCCCGGCGCAGCCTGGCCGAGCTCTCCGAGGCGCCCCCCGCGCCCCGCTCCTCCCGCTCCTTCTGCTGCCGCTCCCGGGCCCTCCTGCTCATCACCCTCATCGCCGCCGTGGCCGTGGTGGCCGCCATCCTGCCCTGGGTGCTGCTGGTGAGGAAGCAGGCGTGAGTGAGCGGGGGCACCTGCGGGGCCGCCCGGCAAGACCCTGCTCTGGAAGCCACCCGCCCGTCCTGCCCGGCCCACCGGCTGGCCACGGCCTGGCAGGGGCAGAGGGGAGACCCGGAGCAGAGAGAGGGCATGAGGCTGGTGCTCGCCAGAGGAGAGCACACCGGTGGTGGCATCGCCTCGCCTCCTGCTCCTTGCCCCAGCGGGGTGCGGCGTGACGGGGGAGCCGGGCTGGGGACCTCCGAGGCCAGAGCGGAGCTGAGCACCTGAGCTCCGGACGGAATTGGGAACTGCAGGTTCGGGGTCAAAGGGGCAATGGGAGCCTCGCTCAGGAACAGCCCTGGCGGCCTCTGCAGATGCTTCCTCCTCTGGGCTGGGTCCGAGCCTGAGCCTGGGCCCGAGTCTGAGCCTGGGCCTGGGTCCAGGCCTGGGCCTGAGCCTGGGCCTGGGCCCGAGTCTGAGCCTGGGCCTGGGCCCGAGTCTGAGCCTGGGCCTGGGCCTGGCCCTGGCCTGAGCCTGAGCCTGGGCCTGGGCCTGGGCCTGGGCCTGGGCCTGGGCCTGAGCCAGGCGGGGATGGGTGCTGCTCTCCCGCGGGGGGCCCAGCCTGAGGTGCAGGTCTCACCTGCCGGGTGACCTGCCTGGGCGAGGTGGGCTCCCGTGGGACAAGGAATTGCGCTGGGGGGCCCGATGGCAGGACCCCGCCAGGTCAGAACTCCCACCCCGGATCCTCTGGTTTGTTCTCACAAACAGACGGGCCCCGAAGCACACGTGCCCCCCAGAATCTCAGCGCCCACCCTGGACCGTCACAGCTGGACTGCTGTGCACCTTCCCACCCTCAGATCGCTGATCTCAGAGGCTGGGCCCAGGGTTTCGGGGGCAGGGACAGACCACGGCCGTCCTGGGAGCAGGGGCCACACTGGGAAACAGCAGTTGCTGACAGCGGCCGCGGCCAGCCGAACAGCCCGCACACACGGCCGAGCGCTCCCCCGGCCTCCCGGGCCCAGGGAAGGGCCCGCATTTTGAGTCTTGGGCTGTCCGGGACGGACAGGAAGTCAGACGGGGAGTACTGAAGCCTAATGGCCCAGACCTGAATCAGCGATGAACTATGTGGGCAAATTAACCCCTGGGGCTCCCACCTCTCCCAGCCCAAGGCCTCCTCCTCAGGAGCCAGCCACTCATTAGAGGCCATACCAGTCCGGCCAGTTTGCGAGGTGGAATCCCAGGCTGGGCTGGGTGGGGAGGGAAAGGGAGGGGAGGAAAGCAGACGTTGCTTGCTTGTCAGGGACACTATCGTCTCGAGGAATCCCGAAACCCAGGTGCTGTGAGCCGCTGGGCGAGGCCTGGCCACCGGGGGACCACACCCGGACCGCACGGGGGATCCCTGGTGAGGACCACGGGGGCGCCAGCCGTGCAGGAACAACTCTTCTCTGTTTACCAAGGCCCCTGCGTCACGGGGCCTTACTCTTAGCTTCATCTTAGGGTCAAACCAAAAACAACCTCCAGCTGCTTCCTCAAACTGGTGGCTGTTTGCAGTCAGGGTGCGCCAACCACTGAGCCCTCCACAACCTATACCTCTCGGGGCAGAAACAGCACGCCGCCTCAGAAATAGCATGGCTCGCTGGTTCCCTGGGACCCATCGGGGAGCAGGCCCCACACGATAGGGAACGTTCGGTCACAGGCTTAAAGCACGCCTGGGCTCTTTTCCAGGCCAGAGGAGAGCACACGGGCGGGTGCTATTGGGGGATACAGTTGGATTCGTGGCGGAAATATTTTTTTTTTAATATATTTTATTGATTTCTTACAGAGAGGAAGGGAGAGAGACAGAGAGTTAGAAGCATCGATCAGCTGCCCCCTACACCACCACCCCCGCCACCCCCTCCTCCCCACTGGGGATGTGCCCGCAACCAAGGCACATGCTGCTGACCAGAATCAAACCTGGGACCCTTCAGTCCACAGGCTGACACTCTATCCACCGAGCCAAACCAGTTTCGGCCATGGGGGAAACATTTATTACAGGAATACGAAAGTCAAATTAAAAAAAAAAAAAAAGACTCTAACAAGTCTGAACCTTGGCCAGGCTGCTCTCAACAGTGTCGTGCATTCCTGGGGACCTCCTTTTAGATTCTGCGGTTTGTCAAAGATTAATTTCAAAACACCTGTCGTGTTTCCACAGCGTCCAGCCGTGGCGCACCTCTTGTTTTCAAAGAATGTCAAAAGCTATTTTTGAAATAAAGGCATCTATTTTCTCAGAGATTCCAGAGGCATCGCAAACGCAGGTGGGACGCTCCGAGCTTGGGCTTTTAAGGTCCTTCACTTCGGGTGGGAAAGACACTCTGAAAACATGTATTTGGCTGCACTCCGAGGCGCCAATCAAAATTCTCCCGGCATACCCTTCTCACCTCTTCGCTTGGCAAAGCCTGACCTTGGTCTCACAGCCCACTCCACTGACCACGCCGAGGAGCTGAGGTGGTGGGCCTGCAGGCTGGTCAGACCCCTGGGTGCGGAGTTTGACATCACCTATCAGAATTCCCAGGTCGGCCCAGCAATTTCTGATGGAGCAATGTGTCCTCAGACATACGTGCATACACGGGCGGTGACGTATGCACACTGGTATGTAATTGCCGTGCTGTTCACAGTAACACAGCACTGGGGCAAGCCTCCGTGCCAGTCAATGGGACCGGCTGTAACACTTAGGAAAAGAACAAGGAAAGGGCAGGAAAAGCCTCCGGGGTACGTTGGCCCTGACCCTGACGGGAAAAAGCCAGGCGCTGGTCTCAGGTACCACCGTGTGCGGAGGAAGTGGGGGATGTGAGAATTTACATTCGTACTTGCTGACTCATGCATAAAGAAATCAGGAAAATATATATATATATATATTTTTTTAATATATTTTATTGATTTTACACAAAGAAGAATTGAGAGGGATAGAGAGTTAGAAATGTCGATGAGAGAGAAACATCGACCAGCTGCCTCCTGCACACCCCCCACTGGGATATGCCCGCAACCAGTGTACATGCCTTTGACCGGAATCGAACCCGGGACCCTTCAGTCCCCAGGCCGACACTCTTCCACTGAGCCAAACCGGCTTCGGCAGGAAAATATATTTTTTAAAAAAACAACAACTATGTGATGAATGGTGGGAGGGTGAGAGGAAATGCTGAAAGGAGAGGGGGAATTTTTCCTTTCACACTTTTTGATTTTTGAACCAAGCAAATGCAATTGAGACATTACAGTAGAAGCCGCAGACGTCGGCAGAGAGCAGGCCCGCGGCCGGTGAGGAGCCGCCCGCCCGGCACTGAGCTGCCGCACGGCTTGCGCCTCCGGTCCAGGGTGCGAGCTGCCGGCTCGGCGGGGCTGGTTTGTCTGGTTGGAGGTGTGACACCTGATGCTCACCAGGCACCCAGGAACGAGGTGAAAAGGTGAACGCGTTCCTGCATTCCTACAAGTTTCCTTGGGCCCCGTCATTGAATGTGCTTGTTTTTCTTCTTCCCTCCCTTCCCTTCCACAAACAGAACCTTTTATTTAAGCAACCTCCCTGGGGTCAGGGAACTACAGGAAAACGCCACTAGATGGGAAGACAGACAGGTGGGTGGAGGCCTGCGGCTGAAGGTAGACTCTTCCTCCCCTACACACACACACACACAAGCCACAGCCACCTCCCACTTTCTTAAATTTCTTTATTGATTAAGGTATCACATATTTGTCCTCAACCCCCCATTCCAATCCTCCACCCTTCCCCCACTTGTGCCCTCCCCTCCCCCCTTGACCACTGGTCAGGCTCATGTGTGTGCACACAAGTCCTTTGGTTGATCTCTCCCTGTTATCCCCCCCCTCCCTCTGAGGTCCAAGCCACCTCCCACTTGAGAAAGAGAGCATTCTGAGGTGTCCTAAATAAAATTACAACAGGGTGGAAGGCAGAGATAGGAAGGGGTTGATCCATTAACAACCGCAGGGCAAAGCAACAAGAGCCTCATGCTCCTGAGTGCCTGCTGGCGTTGGAACTTGATTAAGCTGCAGGCGGCTGTTTCTGCCAAGCACCCTGCACCCAGGACCCCCATTCTTGCTCAGACTTTCAGACTGTTGCCCATCCATCACCTTATTCCACCGATCTTATCTGCAGCCAATGTCAATTCTTTCAAACAACTTATATCTTTCTCCCCCCTATCTGAGGTTTTATTTATTTTTTTGAAGTATATTTTATTGATTTTTTTACAGAGAGGAAGGGAGAGAGAGAGAGAAACATCAATGAGAGAGAAACATCGATCAGCTGCCTCCTGCACACTCCCTACTGGGGATGTACCCGAAACCAAGGTACGTGCCCTTGACCAAAATCGAACCCAGGACCCTTCAGTCCGCAGGCCGATGCTCTATCCACTGAGCCAAACCAGTTAGGGCTGATGTTTTACTTTTTAATACAATTTTCTTTATTTATTAATTTTTCAATATATTTTTATTGATTTCAGAGAGGGAGAGAGATAGATAGAAACACCGGTGATGAGAATCACTGATCGGCTGCCTCCTGCATGCCCCACACTGGGGATCGAGCCTGCAACCTGGGCATGAGCCCTGACTGGGAATCGAACTGTCACCTTGTTCACAGGTCAGTGCTCAACCACAGAGCCACAGAAGCTGGGCCCTACCTGATGGATTGTTTGTTGTTGTTTTTTTTACTGATTTCAGAGAGGAACAAAGAGGGAGAGAAAGGTAGAAACATCAATGATGAGAGAGAACCATAGATCGGCTGCCCCCTGGGGTTCCCACACTAGAGATGGAGCCCACTAACCAGGCATGTGCCCTGACTGGGAATCAAGCTGTGATGATCTGGTTCATAGGTCTACACTCAATCAACCACTGAGCCATTCCAACCGGGCACCACCTAATGTTTAAAAAAAATCATCAGCCCTGGCCGGTTTGGCTCAGTGGATAGAGCGTCGGCCTGCGGACCAAAGGGTCCCGTGTTCGAATCTGATCAAGGGCACCTCCCCGGCCCAGGCCCTGGTCAG